AAATCAAATCAAATCAAAATATGCTTTATTACCCAAGATATAAACATCTTATTGGCAAAGTCTAGTAAAGTAAAACATGTATAAGGGACAATTAACAAATATAAACTATAAAATAATGCTTAAACACCGGAGCAGAGTATATGGACAGAACAATATTAAGTCCAGCTGAACAGCTACAAATATAAGTACATGAATTTATGAATATTAAGTAAACGTAAATATATAATTCTACATAATGAACATTGAAAGACATGTTTCGCCAAAAATTCAATGACTTATACAATAACAAAATATCATTGAGTGTAACAAATTAAAAGTCAAATTTAGAAACATTAAAGTCAAAGCCTATTATAATAAGAATTTTTCGAAAAAGAATGATAAATTATGTTACACGGTTGTATTCAAAACAAAAAAAGAATCCAATGTAGCGCCCATTAGAAAAAATAAAGTTGATGATGGTGGCCGGCAGACGAATCGTCGGATAGCAAATCTTAAAACACCATTATGTAGCAATGTGAAAGTGTAATTTATTTTCGAATCTTTCGAAACACCCTGTATATAAGCTCGATGTATCAGCAACACTCCATTCAGCACGGAAGCCCTGAAACTTGTTTTAATTGTAATTTTTTATCCCATCTTGACTCTTATTAAACACGTTTGGCTTGCAAAATAATTTTCAATTAAAATAAGTACTGAAAAAACTTCAAGCAGGCACCAAAGGTTTATTCTGCTACTGCGGCAGATGTGAGGAGTGTATATTATTTTACTAATCGAGAAAAGCAGAAGATCACGGTGTGTGTCCAAATAACACACTTCTTCAAAGAAAAGTGCTTTTAACACTTTGGTGAATATTGGTGGTGTTTTGAATATTCTAGCGTGTAAAACCACTCTGTAGATGTTCTATCACGTAGTTATTCATAAAAATTGAAAAAGAAAATCTTAAAAATTATTGCGAAGGTTCATGTACGGGGGTATTCGTATACGCAGGGATTCAGAAATAATTTTTTGCTTGTTACAATTGTATCATTTATGTTGAAAAATGCCAGTATTTTGTTTACTATTTACTTATATTATTTCTGATAAAGGGTTGTGTTGAATTGTCTTCTTCAACACCCACTTCATTTCCTTTATATCTTCTAACTTTTTTAAAAAGTAACTATTAATCCAAAAACGTTACTTCAAATTCTCATACAGTAGATGATTTGTTCAAGTAGTAACATAATCGACTGACTTCACTGGATTTCTCACTCACAACCCTAATAAACAAATACAAACCTTCAAATTTCAAAACCACACTAAAACTTTCTAAATATTATCCACTATAAAACTCCCTAAAAATACTTTGGTACTCTAAGTACACATTTCACGGTACTTTATCTACCCAACCGCCGATATTCGAGATTTTTCCACCAACGAAAATTCTTATCAAGCGGACCGGACCAAGATGCGACACAAACTGAAGACTCCTAGGATTACTATCATCAGATTGTTTACACATCATTCAAAACATGTTTGCTATAATTTCTGTTGACTCAGAAAAGGAGGTTGGTTGTCTCAGTTGTCTGTAGGAATGCGTGAAAGAGGATGATCTATAGATAAGATTGTATATTAGGTACTTACAGTTCATACACAGTGGACCAATTATTGATGGTGTGAGACGTTGTACATGATTTATTTCCATGATCTGGTATCAAATCATGTGGTGTGGAACCGAAAAATGTGACATATTTTGATCAATCTGGCATATTGAGAGATAAAATTAATATGAAATAATGATAGTGAATTCCCGAAACTTGTTTGCAGCAGCTGTAAGCATATTTCAATATATGAGATTTTCTTCAATATCCACAGATATAAATAAATAGACACGCAGAGTTTCTAATTAATAATGGGAGAGACAAATACTCAATTTCGAGATGATTTCAGCAGCGAAAAAATCACTCAAGAACTGTAAAAACCGGCTTGGGGAAAAAGTTTCTAGTAGATGTATAGAATAAAAAAATAACTAATTTCTACTAAGTTTATCGTTTGTTACAACCGGTTTCGGTTTATTAGACCATTTTCAAGTAACTGAAAGTCATTTTCTTTACTCTATATTCAATATGAATGTCTACGAAATAAATAGGTCATCAATCGAACAAGTTTCTAGTATATTATACAGTACCAAAAATATACGGTCTGTCAAAAACTCACAAGCCAGGCAGGTCGATGCGAGTTATTGTATCAGCTGTAGATTACGGAAAATATCGCCAAGTGACTGAAGCATGATTACGGTGTTTTTTTGGCCGAAAAATTACGAACAAGCAATGACAAGTGGGCAGGTCCATTATCGTGATGCAAGAGCCATGAATTGTTTTTCCACAATACGACGTTTTCTCCGTACCTATTGCTTATCACAAGCGAAGCGTAACTTCAAGATTATACTCCTTATTGACCGTACAACCATGCGGCATACCTATTCTCATAAAATTATATAGAGCTAGTCTGACGTGGAACTATATACCACCCAGTTGGTTGACAGCAGGAGTGGTATATATACCTACAGTGGTTTGGAAAAACCCACATTCTAAATAGGTATGACCAATCAGCCTTACATCCTTCCTGTTGAAAGGACTTGAGAGGATACTGGACAAGCATTGAACAACCTTTTAGAGAAAATTTCCCAATCCCTTGACAACAAGGAGATTGCTGTTGCTGTGTTTCTCGATATCGAAGGATCATCTCTGGCTAAGAAAGCTATAGAATCGATCATAACTGGCTGGATCTATGCCACGCTGGTAAACAGAACTGCAACTACGTCTCTTCAAGGCGAGGCCATTAGGTTCAAGATCACCAGAGGCTACCCTTGTCACCGTAGCAAGGTCCACGTCGGGAAGGGTAGCTTGTAATATCCTCCAAAGTACGATGAAAGTTGTTCACAGTTGGTGCCCAAGGGAGCAGATGTATGTCAACCCCAGCAAAACTGTTTCGAACCCCTTCACCAAGAGGAGAAAATTAGACGATCTAACGCCACTCTCCCTCAATGGTGAGGTCATTCCATTTGATATGGAGGTGAGCAGATAGTTGTTAGTTCACAGATGGATCAAAAACACCTTCCGGTTCTGGTGAAGGTGTTTTCAGTCGCAGACCCAGGACAGATATATAAACCTGCTTAGGAACCTATGCGACTGTATTTCAAGCGGAAATGTACGCTATTGAATTGTGTGCGGTTGGGGTTTTCGCCTTCCACAATGTTCACTGACTGATTTCAAAATGTGTTCTGACACTTTTGATCCCCTTAATTGTCTATTTCTGATGTGATCTCGACATTCATTCTCACGAACTTTTAATGGTCTTGAAGTTTCACCAATATTACTTTTACCACCAGAACAAGGTACCTTACAAATGCATTTTTCTGTTTTTTCTTCTGTGTTGTTAGATTTTGTGTGTATAAGTATAGATGTCAGTGTATTTTTTATTTTGTAAGAAGTTTCAACGTCATATCTATTTCCAATTCGTCTTATCTTTCAAGATAATCCCGGTATATAAGGTATAACGTTGATTGTGGAAGTGTTGGTGATTGTTGAATTGGTGGTTGCTGAATTCTATTTGCAGTGTCATTTGCTTTTTAATTTACTGTTTATTATATATTGCATTCATTTTTGATTCTACGAAAGGATCTGGATACGTGTTGGATAGGCGAATTTTACAAACACAACAAGTTATTCATGAATAGAATAAGTTTCTTTGTGAAAAATAATTTGAATTCACACAGTAACTTATCGCGGTGAACTAAAATGTTTGGCGTTCCTAGAACTGCATAAAGTTTCCCGTTCCATTTTTTTTAGATTGTGAAATGAGAAAATTCCCTTGAAATCCAATAAAATACTCCACGAAAAATTACTTTCATTGAATAGTATCAAAATCCTTTTCTAAATATAGGTAGTACTATATGTTTTCCCTCTGTTTTTTCATTTGATCGCTTTTTAGAACATTTTATGAGATTTTTTTAATAAAATATTACACTTTTATCGCTCGATTTTTTTTTCATAAAGAGAGGAGATACTTGTAATTTATCACATCTGTGATATTTTTTATTGAAGTTTTTCAGTTTCTTAAAGAAATCTAGGCGTTTAATTGTTCCAGTATGCAGCTTCATATGACAGAACGTTGGTAGACGCATTCAGGTCGACACCAACTTTGCTCAGGACAAACAATAGTTGACATTTGACATTAGACAGTCGACAAATCGAGAGCTGAAAGCTTTTGTTTTGTTTATTTGCATGAACAATGGCATGTAAAACCATTGTGGTTGCGGTCTTAGATTCCTGTTATGTCGTACTGTTCAACTAGTACGGTAAAATAATAAAACTTGCACTATGATGAAAAATAGATAACCAGCTGTACCTGTCCAAATTTGAAGAGAATGGCAGCTTCCGCTAGTGAAATAGAAGAGTTCCTATCGGGGCCCCTAGTGAAATGGGTCAGTATTTCTTTCTATAATCGAAAACACTCATTTACGTCAATTGTCTTGCTCTACAGCTATCTACTTGTATGAAAAAACCTGAAACTCTTCAAGTGTACGAAACCTTCTTCGATGGAGCCCCAATAAACGAAGTGTTACTTCTAATCGATCCAGAGCCATCCCAACCAGTGCCTTCGATATCATCCTTGCATGGACTAAGTATTTCGGCAGCTAGAACTAAGATTTTTCATTGTATTATACAGAATATCAAAGCGGTGTATGAAGATGAACTGGGACAGGTTGTTATTTCTGTCCCGGACTGTATAGTTTTAGGCAGAACGCCTACTTCACAGGCTGCATTGAAACAGCTCAGGCTACTTATTTTATTACTTTTGGGGTGTGCTGTCCAGGGCCCCACAAAGGAGCTTTTTATTTTGAAAATAAAAGAGTTGTCAGTGGATGATCAACATGATATCGTAGAATGTATTAAGAGGGTGAGTTTTTGAATGTAGAGAAGTATTTTAATTAAGAAATATACATTCTCCAAAAATTTCATTTTTTACAGAAAGGTTCTTTACAAAAATTTTCTCTTGCTGAAAATAATATGATTATTGATGCTAAAAAACCAAACTTTAGGCAAAGTGTCAGAAAAGCTAAAAAATTACTGGTTTTTACAAAAGTGAAATATCTATCACATTTTGATGAATGGAAAAATCTTGAAAAATCAAGTTTTTGGTCTGTTTCCCCTCTTGTATTTCATTTTGCAATCATTAAGATCATTTTTCAATACATTTTCAAATAATATAATCATTGACTGGTGTCCTTTGAAGTTATTAATTTTATTTTCCAAGTTGAACTTGAATTTTGGGTCACCCAATTCTATTGTTTTATTATTTCACATGACAATCATACTGTTTTATGTGTGAGAACAATTCAATCTGATGTGCTCAGTAATGGGTTGAATGATTAATTAGTTCCTTTGTTAGTATATTGTATAGTTCCATTGTATATACTTATTTGTCAACTATTCCAGTGAGATTAGGTGTTCAGTTTTTTTAGTTAAAATATAACATGTAGTTTAAATTTTTTTCATGTGCCAGAAACTGTTCTTTTTATCTATTTTAATAATGATTATGAAATAAATGATTATACTCAATATCCAAAAAAAAGGCAAAGAAAACCAATCTAAATATAAGAATAGCAGATTGGCCAAGACAGATCAGGTAATATTTTCAATGTTTTTGACTTACATAAAAAACAAATATTGAAAGATCCAGAAATTACTCAAGTCATCATCTACTAACATCAACGGTTTTTGAAATGTTTGTTGAGAAACTTTTTGTAGGTCTGTTATGTTGCAGTATCGTTTTAAATAAAATGGTGCTACCAATATTTGTTTTTTCAAGTCAGTATATAGCTGGATAAATAAACATTCATAATCAATAAGCAAAATTGCACAATAATCAACAATAGACCTTAAACATTTCAAAAAAGCCCTAAACTTGGTTACTTTACTAAAAACTAGTGAAATCAAGTTTATAGAATGATTTTCTTTACATGGAGAAACAGAGTTGGCCTGATTCGAATCAAATCATTTGAATTATATTATTTAAATTAACTGATTATTCTCGGACAGTTAAGCGGCGTTGGAAGCTCTTGGCTCCTACCGAGCAAGGTCTAAATTAGTACCAAATTGCCAAAAACAACTCTCTCGATAGGAAGACGTAACAGATTGTCTCTGGTCTGGGTTCCTGGCCATAGTGGCCTGGAAGGCAATGAAGCTACTGACTTCCTTACAAAAGAGGGTGCTGCAAGCAGCTTCATTGGCCCAGAACCTGTCATTGGCATCGCTTTAGACTTTGTGCCAAACAAAGATTGAACACTTGGATGGCAAGAAGATTTATGGCCTTCTGGCAGAATCTTTCCGGATTGGCTCACTCCAAGACGTTTATTCACCCTTCGAAGCTTGATACCAAACAGTTGTTGGACTACAGTGAGGATGAACTACGTTCATCTAACAGGCCTTCTTACAAGTCACTGTCATTTGAATCATCATATGGAGAGACTCGGACTGTCGGAAGACAGTGTGTGTCGCCTCTTTTTGGAAAATGATGAAACGGCAGGGCACATACTTTGTGCCTGCCCCGCTGGGGACCAAATCAGGTTTTTAGAGTGGCAGAGCCGTACTCTTACCATCTGACCTGAAAAACCACTCACCATACAAACTAATTGGCTTCGTTAAGAAGCTGGGTTTATTTGGTCGAGTATGAATAGGTATGAGCCACAATAAACCCTTGCGGGTTGCGGTGGAGGATCGAATAGACCCACCCACCTTGGACCTAACGTAACCGATTTTTATCACCGATTTAAATAACACTTGATTGGAATGACCAACAACCTGAACAATTATTTTCTCACATAAGAACTCTGACAACAGAAAGAGACAAATTGGTTCGACAATGGGTAACAGACTTGGGCCAGGAAGCAGTCAGCTCGGGTTCATCTTCAAAATTCGGAAACCAAGGAGTAGAATCAAATCATTTGGCAGTGGAATTGGCCGATTGGAAGGCTAGAATGAGAAAGCAGAGACAGGAACTGTAAGTGAATTGTGTTGTTATGAAGAAAAGACTTATTTTTTTTACTGATAAATATTTGGTCAATATGACTTCAGCCTTTCCAGACTATCAAGTCATATGAAATATTCGACTGTGCTAGACCATAGTGAACCAACATTGATATGTTCCTAGTACCGTGCCCTTGAGTTGCCTTAGTACAAAGCAATTTTTAACCAGTTTAGAGAGAGAGAGAGAGAGAGAAAGAACTTTATTGTCCAAAGAACAGAATTCTTGTTAACAAAGTTTAGAAATACATTTATGTATGTACACATATATCTATATACACACACACACACACATATACATACAATTCAAAATTAAATAAACACCTTAGAATAATAAAACCAAGTAAAATAATATAAAGTGCGTATACAAGTGATTGCAATGTTAGTCAAAATCTTCATTATAATATTCGTCTAAAGTATAAAAAGCTTTATTTAGCAAAAAACATTTTACAGCACTTCGAAAATTTTTATATGAAGAAGTGGAGCGAAGATATACTGGCAAATGATTGAACATTTTCCTTGCATTGTATATTATGCATTTTTTTATTAATGCGCTTTTAGGAATGGGTAGTGCTATTAAGTGGCTATTATGCCTAGTATTATAAGAGTTTGTTGAATCACTGGTAGTATTAAATTTTTTGTGCATCATACACACACTTTCAAGGATAAAAATGCATGTCAGAGTCAAGATTTTTTGATCAATAAACAGGGGTTTACAGCAATCTCTCGGTTTTGCCTTACAAATATATCTAACCGCTCTCTTTTGTAAGATAAACACAGACTGTAACAAGAACTGAGAAGCATTACCCCAGAAGCAAATTCCATATCTTAGGCGGGATTCTATTACCGCAAAATAGACTGTTCTTGCAGCTTGCAAGTTGAGTTCTCTGGTAATAACCCTTAAAACATAGCATCCCGAAGCCATCCTATTACATAGATTAGAGATGTGGATATCAAAGGATAGNCAATATCTGACGCGCTCGAGTATGTCCATGCAACAGTATTTTTTTACATATTTAAAAATCTATAGCCGCTTCCCCCACCGATGAAAAGGTATATATTATATAACATTTTTTTCTTCTTATCATCTAAGCTTTGCAACCTAATATGTCTCAATGACGCTCGAGTAAATTCCCATTTTGCATCGTGGGTTCCCCTGTTATAGCATTTACCCTTGAATAAATATAATTTTACTTGTCATTAGATTCACAATAATATTTACTTTTGTATATTAGGATGTATATTTGAATGGAGTTTCATTATTATATTCCAGGGAAGAAAAAACTGAAATCCTGGCAGAGTGTAAAGAAGAGTTAGAACATGCCACAAGTTTGATCACCAAATTAAAAGCTGAGGTATAAAAATTTATTAAAAATTCTAAATAACCTTTAAATAATGAATATTACTTGAGTTTTTCCCAACACCAAACCGTTATTTTAACACCTTGACACATGTTTCGATCACCAAGTGATCATCTTCAAGAGGAAGATTTAGTTTAATCTTCCTCTTGAGGATGATCACTTGGTGATTGAAACACATGTCGAGGTGTTAAATTAACGGTTTGGTGTTGGGAAAAAACTCCAGTAATATTCATAACTACTCAGTCATCATTTTAAAACTTTGATCTGCCCCTCAGAACAGTGACTTGCTGACCGAAGCTAGGCAGGCCAAAGCTTACAGGGACGAAGTCGATTCTATGAGAGAGAAAATTGAAAGAGCAGACAGACTAGAGGTGGAAGTTCAGAGGTACAGAGAAAAAGTTAATGATACCGAGTTCTACAGGGATCGAGTATCTGAGTTGAGAGAGGATAACAGGATCCTTTCTGAAACGAGGGAAATGCTCGAGAAGCAGTTGGAAAGGGAGAGGCAGAAGGGTGATCACGTTCTGCAGCTGAAAAATGAACTGCTTGCTGTCAAACAGGCTTTCAATAGTGTGGTATTGGTAAGTAGGATTTATATAATGTTTCAAAGGAAAAATTATAATATTGCGACATAATTCTTATAATTCTTATGACTACTTAACCGATTTTGTTATATTCTGATATTTATTCAGAAACTACTCCAACTGTTTTATTTTATCTTAACTGACATCATTCACAAAAATTTCAAATTGTATTTTATTGTTATACTTGTAATTCATATTTATTTCTGTGCTTGTTATGTGTTCCTATTGTATCTTATACGTTTTTGAAATAAATATTACTGGAGTTTCTTCCCAACACCAAATCATTATTTTTAACACCTCGACACGTGTTTCGATCACCAAGTGATCATCTTTGGTGATCATCTTCCTCTTTAATCTTCCTCTTTGAAGATGATCACTTGGTGATCGAAACACGTGTCGAGGTGTTAAAAATAAGGATTTGGTGTTGGGAAAAACTCCAGCAATATTTATTACTACACCAAAGGTTCCAAACAGTGCATCATAAGTTTTTGAAATAAATTTAATTAAATACTTCTTCAGGGCTCTGTAACAATGAATTTTCATAAGCATACCTCCCACAAAATTTATATCGCTATTATCTTTTCAATTTCACAAGAAATATGGAATTCTTAATTAAATTACTCACCGAAAAGTAGTTCCCATATTCCATGTGTCCATATTCTTTTGTATGAACATGAGCGGAATGATCTTTATTGGATGAAACCGGAGCTCAAAAACAAAGCATTCATCATTCAACATCAAAGATGTTAAGCTGAACCATGAATGTATTATTGGACTCAGTAGTCCTTGGCGAATAAGCCTCAGTATAAGTAAGAAAGGACATCTCCTCTTAAGAAGACGCCATCTGTGGAGTTGACAGAAAACTAAAACCTTTGTTACCCCTGAGGACCTTTGTTGAACTAGTTTTTAGGAAGATAAAATTGAAGATAGTATTCTCACAAAAGGATGGAATACTTTAAGTCAGTTTTCCTCCTAAATGTAACCTAAAGAAAGAGAAAGATTGCGAATGATCAGTACAAAGAAAGGATACACTTCATTGTATTTTATCCCTATTTCTTTCTTGAACATTCTAATAAATGTTCGAACTCAATGCAAAAAGAATAATAGTGGCTTGTAAGGTTCATAAAATTTTATTGTTGCACTCATTTTTGTTACAAAGATCTTCTCTGAAAAAATTCATTATTAACATCTCAAAGTGGAATTCCTTACCTCAAAAGAGAGTTGAAGACAGAATGTCGAAGTTCAGTTCAATAATAATTATAATGATAATTTATTAAATCACTGTACCATATAAACATATGGCATGTCGAGTAAGTCATGGTACTCCTTATACTAAGTACATATTTTGAAAAAACTTCAGTAATAGCATGTGAAACTATAAACAACTATGAAACTATAAACAAAAAAAAGAATTTGAAAAATCTCAATGAGAATTTGTTATTGTATAAAAACAAAAAATGAGACTCAGTCGAAGGAACCATCTAGATACGCCTGTACAGTATAGAAACATTTTTCAGTAAAAAATCCCATAAGATGTATGGTCCAATTTGAATTTTTTTGAAAAATTAGGAATTTTAATATAACACCAAAGCACTATACTGGGGAGAATTTTTCAATTTAGAACAGGTATACTCATATTCTCAATAAATTACCATGTCATGTGCAATGATCATGTGGACATTTTTTTTCTCACAAAATTGACATATTTAAACGCATACATTTATGGAACGGATAGTAGTTTCATTCTTATAAATATCTGTTTGGAGGGATCTTTATATTCCATATTAAAAATCAATCTTACAATGTGTTCTTGCGCTATAAATATCCTACTAAAATCTTTGCCACAAAGACATCATCTTAAGCAAAATATGAGAATTAGCCCACAGCATAACGGGTTGCCTGTTGTTCATTGAGGTTTTCCATTTGCTCAATAGTAAAAATGCCTCATTCAGTTTATTGCAGGCACTGTCGCAAATTTTTATCTTTCATTCTTATTCGGTACTCAATTAAGTTCGTTTTACATTAACAATTTGTACTATTTTCAATTCAGGAACGTGATGCCACTAAGGAGAAGGTTCAAGAGTTACTCGACGAGAATCACCAGTTACAGCACCTCATGAAATCCGCCCTGCAAGAGACCAGCTGCCCCAACATATCCACCGATTCCGATCTGGAAGAAACCAATTCTGGAGACAACAGCCTTTCGGAACAGCTTACGAATGATGCGCAGGCGCGAGCTTTGAGGTTCGAGCTGGAAAACAAAAGACTGCTCCTAGCGTTAGACTCGATGGAGGACAACAGCTTCCAGCAGAGTGCCAATAAAATTTTGGACTTGGACAAGGAGAAGAAAAAGTTGGCACTGAAGTGCGAGCAGCTGCAAGAGAACTGTGATAAGTTGACTCGGCAGAATGCAGAACTGGAAGATTTGTTTGAGAATGCTATTAAAGAAAATAGGAAGTTGCAAGATAGTATTGACTCGCAAAAGGTGAGTAACAATAACAACATTCATCAACAATATCAGGGCTTCTAGTCACGGGGCATCATAATTTTTTATATTTTTTCTTATATACTTGCTACTGCTCTCTGTTGGTACTTTCTAGAGTGTCTCCTCATATCTCAAAGAATGACATGTATGGTGCAACTATAGCTTTTCCGAAGAATTTCTCCCATTACCAGATAAATATGCATTGAAAGCTTTTTTCTACCACAAAAAAAATGAATAAAAGGTCTGACTGTGCTCGACGTGAATCTTTCATAGGTGATCTTATTATTCTTGTCAAAAAAACCTGAGAACATGTGTTATGGAATTCTCTACCGATATTTCAAGAAAAGGAAATGAAAATTTCGAATTTATCAATTTGACTGACCTTAGATGTTTTTAGGTTTCGGACAGTCCTTGCTAAAACCTTGCTTTTGTGTTGGCTTTACGATAGATACTAATGTGAATCGTTTTTAAATCCTGGCCGTGAGAATCTCCTCGGTTTTATTTACTCCTGCTTACTAGACAACCCACGATCCCAGCAATAAGCTGATAAAATAACGAACCTACAGGGCGGCTCTACTGATCCTTCTGAATTCAGAAATTTAAACTGTTACAATTACTTCAATTGTTTCAGTGCTACAACTTAAAAAAGTATCTTTTTTGACTTTCTAAGGTGATATTGGGAAAGTATAAACTGATATAATATCACAACAATGTTGGTTCAAGGAAATTGACAAGTTTAAAAGCTGCAATAATTCATAGAATGACTAGAACAGGGTTGTCAGATGGTTCAATAAAAATAAAATGAAAGTTGAAAATTGTTCAGTTATATCCTACACTTGCAGGGAGAGTGTCATTTTTAATGTCTTTATGTCAAAATCAAAAGAGTATACCAGTATAAAGATCTAAATGCTACCTTGCAAATAAATTTCAAGTTCACTGAACACCTACATGTTACTTCTTAGGAGTACTTTTTTTTGGGGTATATAACCTTCCACAGTCTGAAAAATAAACAAATATAAATCGATAGAGAATCTGCTGAAGTGTAATAAAGGACAAACTGAAACTCTGATTTATTAAATTATTTCACATGCCTGAGAATACTAGGAAACTCTCTTTTTCATACTGAACCATGTTCAAATTCACCAATCAACAGAATAATGATAGTGTACTTTTTTCAGCCAATGTTCAGATGCAGACTTTTTACCATTAAAATAAAGGAACTGATTTCATTGTTGAACCCTCAAATTGCATGTTCGAGCTGATGATCCGGTCATAATCCAGTTCCATTCCTGTAATTGTAAGATTATTTAGGTAGTGGCATTTAATGGGTACGTTCCCTGATAGCTAAGAAATTATTTCAATATTCATTGTGATATTAGCCAGAGAAGTAGTTTGTTGAATATTCTCTTAGTCGCCAGTTTTCTTTTTGTTTCGTTTACTGATTTTTAAGTCATTTGATACAATCGAGCCCTATAGTGAGAAAAACTTACATGAAACTTCATCATTAAAACTAATTTGGTATCTTTCTAGTGAATATCACTCACAACACCCTGTCTTTAGAAGATTTCGATATCTGACTATCCTTCATAAAATATCTGACTTTGAAATCAATAATATTCATTTGAACAAGAAATGAATATCTTATTTTTACTGGTGGTTTTTTGTTCTGTGGATTTTTTTTTCTGAATTAGTAAAAACCAGTTGCTGGTTGGATTCTGTGCACTAATGATACCTAATTCGAAAAAGAAAATATACTTTGTGAACTGTAAATATATTCGTACCACATAATGGAAAATTTCAAACAAAGGGGTGGTTTCATGGTTTCCAAAGTTAGGACATATATTCAGCAGGTACTCAAATATTTATAACTAATTGAAATTCATTAGAGTATAGAAGTAATAACAGTAAAATAACAAATAAAACCTACAGAAGAGAACAGAAAAACACCTAATAGTGAAAATTTATCCTGTTGTCATCACACATATGTTTTACCATCACAGAAGAGAGAATACAAGCATTATATAAAAAAAACAAATTATGTTTCCTCTAAGGCTATTTCTTTTTTTACATGCAGATGATATTGGACAGGCAAAATTCAGAATTGAACAATGAAAGAACCAGGATAAATGAAATGGAAAAGAACATGGAGCACCTCACTAAAGAAAAACAGAGAGTGCAATTGTTGTGCGACACTGTCAAGAAGAGAGCGGACGATGCTGAAAAATGTGTCTCAGATTATTCAAAACAGGTACGTGCTTTAGAAGCTCAGGCTGATAAAGCAAAGGATTTCGAGAAGATGGCCAATGATTCGAGAGAGGCTGTGATTGTTTTGGAGAAAGAAAATTCGACAATGTCCAAGGAAATCGCTAAATTAAAAGAGATTATTGAGGTTAGTCCTAAAACTGTTCAAACTTTCAAGTTCTATTTATCTGAGATCTGCGTTTTTCTTTTCTTCAAATTAGATGAAAAGAAATGTGAAATATTTAACTTCTGTATTCCGAAAATATTCCCAGGGACTCCTAATATCAGAACCATCTCTGTATAAATTGTAATTTTGGGAAGCGTGTCAAAAATTGTCATGTTCCAATGTTGATTTGAAATTTTGAATTTTTTAGAAGTGTAACTCAACAGTTACAATTCATTGATTTGCAGAATCCAAAATAATTGTATTCTCTGCATTATCAAATGACATATATAGTTAATACATATTTGAAGATTAAGGAAAAGGCTGTAGCATATCACTTTTCTCTTCAAAAATATCACAAAAAAGGTTAACATATTTAAAATTTTTTGCTGAATTTGACCACTTTTAATTTCAGATTTTTCAAATGTGATGGTAGTTACTTCTTGATTTTACATGATTTATTGTATATTATATTGATGTATGATTATGGCAAGGAAAATTGACACATTTTAAAAATTTTTAATAATCATTTCATATGTGTATACGTAAGTTGGCAAATGTATGTATCTATTTATGCAAGTATTAATTTTAATTTCAATCAAACCTATGTTTTTTTCATTAGATTACGCATTTTTAACTTATCACTTATTATTATTGTAACAGAAAGTAATATATTTTTCATTCTCATGTTACTGAAGCTTCTCTTATTCTTGTGCCTCAACAATAAAATTTATGGGCTCAATTGTTATACGATTTATTATTGACAAACAATGCATCAGATGAAGATCAAGAATTTTTTTGAGAAAATTTATTGGAACAAATAGAAAAATTCCAAGACTTGGAGAAGAAAAGTCAGGAACTAATGTCCCAGTCCTCTGTATTGGCAGAAACCATATCTACTCTCCAGAAAGACCTGATAAACGAAAAGGTGTCCTCTGAAAAGTTCAAAAACAACTTGGATAAACTGGGTCTCACTACAGAATTGATCGAAAATGATGTCAGTGTCATCATAGAGAAAATGTTGGAAAACTCAGAAATTTTAAAAATCGTTACCCCAATTGTGAAAGTGCACATCGAAGGAACTGAAAGCCTGCACAGTATTAACAAATCTGATATTGAAGAAGAGAAGAATATCGAGTGTCAAAAATTATCTGCGGAAATATCCAATCTGCAGGTTTTCAACGATACTCTGCAAAACGAAAACGCAACTCTGAAGGTGGATATCTCAACATTGAAATCGCAGGTGAATTCTTTGCAAACCCAGCAAACAGCTTTGCAGTTAGCCAACAGTCAACTGGTAGCTGAGAAAGATGAGGTAAGTATTAGTTTTGACCCGTTAGTGGTATTTTATCAAAAACCCTACCTCCAAATCAAAAATCATGCTCAAGGTGTCATTCAATTCGGAAGTCATCTAGAAACTCAAAATGCTGGGTTTTGTGTTGAGAATTTCCACTGATTTTTCAATTAAAACTAAAAAGATTTTATATTGTGCTTTTGAAAGATCCATTCTTGAATATTGTTTGGTTATATATAAATGTTATATGTAAATGTATAATGTAAATATCGATTTCACTGATAATGTTCAAAAGAAAGTCTTAAAGAATTGTGCTTTTCACTTTGGTATTCAACGAAATGAATATGAGTACAGTCAACTCCTAACCAAGTTAAATATAAAATAATTGGAAGATAGGAGAATTTCTATGAACTTGAGTTTCCTTTTCAAATTAATAAATAGTGAGATAAACTGCCCAGAACTCCTTCAACTGATAACTTTTCATATCAAACAAAAAAATACGAGAAATCCTGACATTTTTCATATACATTTTTTCCATACCATTTATGCTTTGAACAGTGTGATTCCTCGTATTCTGAAGCTGGGAAATCAATATCATAATAACTTAGATCTGTTTAATGTATCACTTCAGGCCTTTAAAAATCAATTGAAAAGGCTATAGCGTTTTCGAAGCTTTTCTTTATATTATTTTCTTTGTATGTAACAGATCGGTTACATCTTTTTTCTCGTAAGTACCAGAATTGTTTCATCTTTTAGTAATGTAGTCACTAGACATAAGAATTTATTAATATTGTGTATTTCCACACTTCGCTAAATGTTTTGTAAAATTGTAAATTGTAATGTAGACATTAGACATGAGCATTCAAAAATACTTTGTAGTTCCTCACACTCTGATGAATATGTTTTTGTAAATTGGCTTTGCCGTTGAATAAGTAAGTAAATAAACTTTGTGAAACTTTAAAAAAAAATTAAATCTATCTATGATTGTTTTGTATCAACTGTTTTCCCCTGAACTGTCATTATTGTTTTTCAGCTAGTGAAAAAACTGGAAATCGAAAACATCCAACACGACACCCTCCTCTTGGATCAAGTCACGCTGAGAACGTTACATGAACAGCTCAATCTAGAATACGAGGAGGCGAAACGGGAGCAAGAAAATCTGAAACGAATCGCTCGTGATTTGAGGTCAGAAATCAGAACTCTGAAGGAGAAGAATAATCATCTGGAAAGCAAAATTCTAGAAGTGGAGATGGAGAAAAATGCTCTGAAAAATGACGCTAAAAGTTTGGGGAATTTGAGATCTGAACATTCAAAATTGAAGGTAATCAAATTTATCGTTCCGGAGTTGTTTTATAACAACAATAACAATAATAATAGATTGGTTTCCGAGTTTTGCCGTGGTCTTCTTTGGTTATAATCTCCAAACGTTTTAACTGCAGCAGTCATCTTCAGTGGTGTGCTTGAAGTACTCTTCTTGACTGACTCTTCAACTGAAACTGAAGCTCTCATTTTTGCCATGTCATTTATAGTGTTGATTTTTTGCGCACCTTCTGCAACGGCGAATCCGCGCGATTTGGGTGACTTGGCTTCGTTTTGGCGCCTTTCAATGTTGTGTGCCAGATCTTTGGTAGATATGTTCTTTCTTCCTTTCTGTTGAAGTTCGCTTGGTGTTAGTGTATTTCTATGGCTTCTAAATACATTCTTTTTGAAATAATGATTCGACGTTGCCAGCCTCTCAGTATTTTCAAACAGGATCTTGTGTTCCACCTCCGACAGTGCATCTTCAGCGACTGCAGATTTCTCGGTCTGTCCCAATCGGCAACTCCACTTGTGTTCGATTAGGGGGTACCAATGCTTCTTTTCATCTGACCGATGTATACTACAGTCACATGGAATCCTGTAAACTCCCGGAAACCACATACACATTTGTATAAAACTTATCAAAATAAAAAGGTAATCTACAAGTTAATTGTTAACATAGTGTACAGTTGCAAAATAAATCAAGAATAATTGTATGCATACAATAGTAGGGTATCAGGAAATATAAAATTCTTCAACATAAAATACTTTTTCATGGAGACTATTATATTTTTTATTTTATTATAACATTTGATACCACCAAATACGTGTTTCACTATACAATAGCTTTCTCAAGCATAAACTAAAGTTACTTCTAAATTACAACCATTTTATACTCTAACCGTCTAACCTATTACCTACTCATGAATGAATCTACCTTAAAAGATCTCGATTGGGCATGTGATGGAATGGAGATGGAAAAGGATGACTCTATACATTTTTTGAACTTGACAAAAACAAAAATCAACAACATACATGATTTTTCAATTTACCATAAACTGGCACATACAGATATTATCATTCATAATCCGTCCACCCACCTGTATCAGCACAAAGTAGCAGCTTTCAACAGTATGATCCATAGACTGATAAATGTGCCCTTGTCAGAGGCGAATTTCAATGAAGAACTGAATATAATAAAGCAAATAGCCGTCAACAATGATTACGATAGCAGTCTAATACATTCTTTATTTTCAAAAAAATTATACAGTGAAGTTTTGAAAGAAGTTTACTCAATTTTAAGAGAAGAGGATAAAAGTTATAGAATAGAACCTTAACCTACTCAGGCCAACCCACTACAGAAAAATTTGTAGTATATAAATTATCATGTGGGTCATGTTCCATGTTCTACATAGATCAAACTGGAAGAACGTTCAAAGCTAGCATAAAGGAACACAAACATAGTTTCCAGAATGGAAAAATGAGTCCCACATATGCCACTCATTTAATCACAGATGGACATGAGTTCAACCATGAATACAAGCCCCTCCATTTCCAGAAGAAAGGTAAGTTAATGAATTCATACCTGATATGTTAAGGTAGATTCATTCATTAGAAATTAGGCATATGAGTAGGTAATAGGTTAGAGTATAAAAAAATGGTTGTAATTCAGAAGAAACATTTAGTTTCCTTTGTAGTGAAAATCGTACAATAAATTGTATTAATTAGTTTTAATATGGATTTTCATCAAGTACCAGCCAGTTTTATTCAATGATACCAATATGCTTCAGGATGACTTCAGAAATTTATTTACTGCAAGTGACCGTCTGAAACAAGAATACAGATCAGTTCAGGAAGAATTGAAAACGCTCAGAACCGAGTCGAGGAATCTGAGGTTGGTAAAGACTGAAATGCAGGGGGAGCTCAACTTGAGGTTTGACGATATGGCTGGTTTGCAGCTGGAGAATGCCAGACTTCAACAGAAATGTGAGGTAAGTTTAACAACTTCCTCTTCTACCAAGACATTGGTAGACGAGGAATCAATCTGTCAATTGACCAAAAGTGGAAAATAAATTAACGTCCAATTGTATAAAAATCCCATGTGGTTTCAATGGTTAAATCTTTATATTGATAATGTTATCATTGAAAGGGTAACAACTTTTAAATATCTGGGAGTGGTATTAGATCAAGAATTGAACTTTAATGCACACTGTAGTTATATTCAGAAGAAAATAGCCACGAAAATTCATCTTTTATATAGATTGAAAAATAAAATAAGTGAATATGCAAAATTAACAATTTATAAATCAATAATAGCACCCCACTTTGACTATTGCAGTACATTACTCTATTTTGTGAGCAATGAAAATCTAAACAGACTACAGAAGCTTCAAAACAGATCCATGAGGGCAATATTAAGTTGTAATAAACGCACANGCCGTTCCCTCCTGTTGTTCATAAAAGCAACCTTCTACCTCGAATCGGTTTTGTTTCATACACAAATTAGTGAGAAAAACAAATTCATCAATTTCGTTATTATTGAAATTATTTTTCTCAGTTATTTTCTGAGGTATTGTAAGGTCTGTGGAATTGGGACACTAGGAAATAAGGAACTAACATCAAAATAAACCAAATTCTCACCTTTTTGCAGAACGATGTTTTTTGTATGTTGTATGAATTCTAAGGCGTTTTTTATACTAAAACCTGGTCCCGCAATATAGAAGTTATATAGAATCAATCACCACGTGTGATCAATTTTTATTTCACAATAAAGGTTACAATTTCCCCAAAAATGGCTAAAAAGCCGAAAATATCTTGTAAAACTGAAATTTTGCATGTAGGGTAAAAAATGCATTTAGGATTGCAATTTTTTTTGTAAAAAAGTTCAATAACCAATGCGAGCCATGCGACTGCTATTTTTTGTGTTTATTTTTCATCTTGATTGAAGCAGAAATTGATGCTCCAAAGTCGAATTTTAAACAAAGGATTAATGAAACAATTCGAGATGAAGCTAACATCATTTGTACCGTGTCATTATTTTTAGATGTTGTTTGAACTGAATCACTCCCTGAGCTCAGATCGAAGAACTCTGATGGACCATGTCAGCCAGCTGTTAACCCAATACCATACCCTGTTAATGCACTCTTTAGAGGACAAGGAGCACTACCACACTGAGGAAAAACTATATACAGATAAAGTGAACAACTTGTGCAGGCAAAAGGAAAAGCTGGAGGAAAAAATAATGGAACACTACAGGAAATTGGACAATGCTTCAGCGAAAAAGTAAATTTTTTATGGTTTATATCGGTTTTTAGATTCAATATGGTTTTTTATAGGAAAGGATTTGGTGCTACTTTGGTCAGAAGAGTGAGGAAAGCCGGGTCTGATATCATCAACAAAGTACCTAGGGTAGGTAGTCATTGCATTAGTTCAGACAATATTTTGAATTATGAGTTCCATAAGGAATAATTTTAGGACCCATATTAAACACATTTCTTTATGGTACTTTTTTCCAAGTTGAAGTGTTATAGATAGATAAATAAGAGGGAATAGCTGTAATTTCATGTTATGTTACTATTGTAGTATTCCAATTTTCATTTTATATTGTTTGCAAGAGAATCTGAACACAAAATAACCCTTCTTGCCAATTTCAACTTGTAGATTGTAACATACCAATTATTTAAATTTCTATTCTATATTTTCACAGATCTGGGATTCTGAGTAGTCTACAGTAGTACTCCATATAAATCATAATCAGAATGCTGACACCTATTCAAAGTCCATATTGTTTATTTTGATTATTTTTATTCATGTTATGGTCAGGTATACAAATAGACTTGAGTACTCTTCTTATTTTCTTCAGTCATAGAGTTTATTTTCATAGTGTAGTGTAAAGTAGAGTGAAAAGTGAGGTACAGAGAAAGATATATACTTTTAGTAATGTCATACATAGAATCGGTGGGTTTTGTGTATATGTCTAATGTAACAGGTGGCAGAATAGCTTGAACTTTGAACCGTTACCGATTCTATGTGTGAAGGATGAAGTTTTGAAAGGATTTTTTTCTATACCTGGCTTCACAGAGAAAACATTTAGTGTTGATTTGCATAACATTTTTTGAGAATCATCCATCAAGGTATTCATAGATATGAATTTGAAAGTGGATTATATAAAATCATATTTTAAAATTGTAAATTTTATCTAATCGTAGTGTCACTAGGATTTTTTCACAACAGTTTTTTTGTATTATAGTTCTGCCATGCAAAATCATCAAGATCATAGGTTCATAAAAAATCGTAAAATCGCAAAATCATAACAAGCATATGTGTGATTGATGACTTGTTTACTTTATGGTAATTCATGATGACTTTTGTCTAAATACCACTGGTTTAATTTATACGACCGGTTTCCGGTTTGACCCCATTATCAAGTATAAAACTGAAATGTGAATTTTGAAATATCGATTTTATTAGAATTTTCAGGTATGCTACAAGGACAGGTATTTAGGAGACAGGATGCCAACTTAAAATACCATCCTGAAAATTCTAATACTGTGACCATTTATTTTCAATACTGATTTGGTATTTTTGTCAATTACTTCATTTCAAGGGGAATGTATAACCCGATCAAAACTCTCAAGTAAACCGTATTCCTTGTTTTATGGGTATTCTCGGAATGTCTCCTATCCCAGTGTAACTAAGTTGGTCTGCAGTGGCAAGTGTTGAAAAGGGGTACATTATTACTAGAAACTTCTGTAGATGGCGTCCAAATAAGAGCTTTCAATTTGGTAATCCTTTTCAGCACTTATAATTGGATTTCCATAAAAATTAAGCATCGACCTGCGCATTTTCCTCTGCAAATCAAGATTTAGTGATTCCAACTGGACATATGTAGCGTTTTCTTGCCCAAGATCAAGAAACGAGTAAGGAAACATTACACTTTTAAGATTAGTTACATGTCAAACCTACTATTCCAAAAGAAAATTTGAATAACTTATTCAAAATCAATTTCAGAATCGCCGATCTTGGCATGAAGACGCCTCTCGACTGACACAATCCCAACTGACTTTACTTAACGACGGTTCTGGAGAATCGAATGGTAACAACTCTGACAATAGCACAGAAGAAACAATTAATCGAAGTGAACCATTCAAGAGGAGCATATCTGGGGGCGGTAGCCTCCATGGACATAAACCCCGAGACGAAGTAGCTTCGTGGAGATCATCACACAGAGATTTGACTGCACATAGAAATAGCGTGGCTGGTAAGTGGTAGTTCAAAAGAACATTCATGAAAAACTAGAAAATTATCTTATGATTGATATTTATTTATTTTCTTTCCAGCAATTAACTTGTGAAAAAATACAGGAAAATTGTGAAAAATGTCAAAAAGTAGTATAACAACATAATACAATACAGATTTGAAAAAATTGTTATAGATATTCACATAAATATAAATATAAATACACATACATGTTTACATACATAAATGCACATTANAAATGAATGTTGCCTAGATTTGCAGATCTCATTTCTAGTGGTGAATGATTGAACAACTTACCACCATTATATTATATGGAACCCTTGAATAAATTCGAAGTTGGGATGGGAAGTCTAAAGGTATAATTGCTGTTACGAGTAGCATAAGGAGTAGAAGCAAAGTTGAACTTCGGTTTATGTTTATAAATAAGGCAAACTGTCTCTAGGGTAAAAAGTGTGATGACTGTTGAAATTTCATTAGCAGTGAACAAGTACCTGCACGATTCTCTGGGTTTGACTTTACAGAGACATCATAGTGCCCTCTTCTGTAATATCAATATAGAATAGAGAAGGGATGAGTTGCATGCTCCCCAAAAAAAGGTATTCCATAACGTAGTTGAGATTCAATAAGTGCATGGTAAACAGTCTTTGCGATATGGAAACCCAACTCATTTGAAACCACTCTAACTGCATAACATCCGGAGGAGTTCTTACTCTTGAGTTGTTTAAGGTGTTCATCAAAGTTCAGCCTATTATCAGAGAAATTTTGTGTTTAATTTAGGTTGTAATATGGCAGTGTTTATTGGAATTTCATCAAGCTAACATTTGAATATTATATTTAATATTACTGGAGTTTTTCCCCAACACCAAATCGTTATTTTCAACACCTCAACACGTGTTTCGATCACCAAATGATCATCTTCAATCTCATGATAGGTCACATGACAATCTTGCAATATCAGTTCACGCACAGCATCAATGATTTTCGGAATAACAACTGATTTTGGACGACCTTCACGAAATTCGTTTTGAAGTGAACTACGACCACGATTGAATTCACCATGCCATCGATAAACACTGGTCCTTGATGGAGCTTCATCGCCAAAAATTGCATTAAGTTCATCCATGCACTGTTGCTGAGTTAATTCACGTCCAAAGTTGTAATCGCACGAAAATGTTCACGATTTGATTCCATTGTTGGGCCGAGATGAATCTTTTAGTTACTGTAAACAACAGAAATAGAGCGCGTATGTCAAAAGTTCTGAGTACGTATAAGCTCAAAAATGTCCAACTTTACGATAGAGCTGTCAGTTGCTAGATTGCAACACAAGGGTTGCCAAATCCCGAAACATAAAAGGCAACCCTCGTATTTTCATCTGAGTTTAGAGTTTAGCTTCAACCGCTATTTATATCCTTGCGAGCACTTCTACATTATTTTTAAGGTGGTCCTCAAACGTTTTTCTTATTACGATTACGTCATTCAAATCGACAAGGCAAGTTTCTGAAGTGAGACCTCTAATAAACAGTTTTTTAAAAGAGGGTGGAGCATTGCACAGTCCGAATGGAATGACTTTGAACTGGGATAAAAGATTTCCAACAAAAAATGCGATTGTCTTTCGAAGAACATACTCTTCTATATTATTATTTTTTTATAGGTGACCAGATGTATTGTCCTGAACCAGGGAGCCCTTTGAGCCTCGGCTCAGTCGGAACCCGCCGAACCGTGTACCTTTCTGAAGAAGACAGCGCGCCTGTAGCTTCTTCCTTGCCGCAGAACAACCCCTCGATTTCCGGCACCCCTCCCATATTGGTGTACAACAAAATATCGACTGTGATTGGCGAGCCACAAAGGACGTCCTCGCCTCAACCCCAGCAACCAGAAGAAAACAATAAAGACAAGGCGCCGCAGAAGAATGATGACAAAGAAAAAACTGTTAGAAGCGCTAAAGAGACTGCCGTGTGGTATGAGTACGGGTGTGTTTGATGAAGTACAGATGCAAATAAGTATTATGAGCCTTCTTGGTTTGAATTTCAGGTTAGAATTCCAGTTTGTTACACTAGAGGGGTACATTTTGTTTATATTCCAACTGGGGTAATTTTGAATTTAGTACAGAACATCTTTGATGAAAAATCCTCAGAAATTCTCATCTTGATCAAGAAGTGAGATGAAACCATCTACTAACCTCAATAAAAACTAGATGGTTATAGTGAATAATCAACAATCTTGAAAAATAACTTTGTTCAGCTTATGTATTATCAAAATATAAACAATGAACAAGTGCAACCAAAAGCACAAGTACAATAGTACACATAAAAAAGACATGGAATTGTTAAATGTAAAAATCGTCTATAAAATAGTGTCTCTTCAATAATAATAATAAATGCTTTTATTGGAAGGTTACTTAGTACAAGAGGTACCAACATAACCTAACAAATGGCAGAGTTCAACATCTGCACATGGTAAATCGAAGCAGAAATTGCTCTTCCATCCAGCCAGCACTGACATTTTTCAGCGGTACACTTCATTACATCTTCATTTCACTGTTCAATGTTGTAAAATTTTGTTTGTAGATTAATTTGAATTTTATGAGGTTTTTTTCATTGATGTACCAATAGTATTCCTTAAAAAGTGTTGGCAAACTGGAATTGTAAATGTCTCATCAAAAAATCTTGCCAGAACTGAAATACCTGAATACAGGGTGATTTTAATTTAGCTCTAACTAGACACAAGTGATCATGGTGGATTTTATTCGGAAGTAGTAAAGTTCAAATTAATGTACATGCAATAATTTATTAACAAGCATGTTGTGCTACTCATGAAGTGTAGCATGCTTCTGTTGGTTCACTTCTGCTTATTTTTATTGAACTGCATTGTGATAGTGGACAACTTTTTTCAAAATTTTAAAGTAAAAGTGAACAATAGAAATTGTTGAATGTCCATATGTTTGACCATTCTGAAAAACTTGAAAAAAAATCCCAAAGACAAAAAACAAGTGGTATTTGTTTTTAAGATGATGGCAGTGTAATTTCATGGACGAAAAAATATCTACTAGCCTTCTGTACTAATTTTCTGTACTGACTTTTTTCTTTTGATGCACTGTTTGGAACTTTTGGTGTAGTAATGAATATTACTGAAGTTTTTTCTCAACACCAAATCGTTATTTTTAACACCTCGACACGTGTTTCGATCACCAAGTGATCGAAGAGGAAGATTAAAACCGTTTTAATCTTCCTCTTTGAAGATGATCACTTGGTGATCTGTTTCAATATTCCTCTTTGAAGATGATCACTTGGTGATCGAGGTGTTAAAAATAACGATTTGGTGTTGGGAAAAAACTCCAGTAATATTCATTGACTTTTTTCTGTTTTAATTTTGTGGAAGATCCTAATGGAAAGTATTACTAATATAAGTGAACTTCATCAAAATGATTTTTATATTCTACAGAACAACGCTGAAAATCGGCAATCGTTTGTAAAAAAAATATTGTTCAATTTTTCAGATTAAAAATACTACTTTTATGGTTCCTATCTTGATATTTGACAAAGTTGAGGTAAAAATAACCTTTCAGCAAAAATTTTACCATTTCATAATTGAAATTTCTGAAGTTCCCATAAAAAACTAACTAAAACACCTTTTTTTCTGTGACGGGAAAAAAGTTTGACATTTTATCTCTGATGACAGGTAACAAAATG